TAACTTTTGCCGGATTCTGAGACGTGGGCCCCACGAACAAAGTTTTAATTAATTTCAGGATTTTTATTGAAAATATAGTATTTTCTTATAGAATTGATTCATATAAATTCTAGTGATTGTATCGAATTTTTTTTGGTTAGATTCGAGCCAATTAAAGTTGGATAATCGAGGAAACGATCTACTAGTGGATTAAATTGGAGCAAGACGAGGTAAGTCTCTTGTCTAATCTTGTGATAGGAAAATTACCCCATAGGTAATAAAGTNGCAGAAATCGTGCTTAATAATAATAATTACACGATACTTTGATAGTTTATTGCAGCTTGTGAAGGTAATTGATAAATTGGAAATCTTTAGAATTTAATAAATTATTATCCCTGCTTGTTAAGGGATTATTGTTATTCCTGTAAATGAAACTAATTGATAAATTGAAAAATTATTGGGAATTGAAGGAATTTAATTAATATATTAAGAATTTTTGAAATTGAAGGAATTTAATTATTTCTGCTGGTTAAACAAATTATTGTTATATTCTGTGAATCATTCTAATTTAGATATTCTAGTTTTATTTCAATTATTATTGTTGACCCATAGTGAGTGTCAAAGTCGGCCATCTCGTCTGTACCACTTCGAGATTAGGCTTGATACTTACTGGGTACACGTTGTTTACGTACTCATACTACACTTGCTGCACTTTTTGTGCAGGACCTGAGGCAAGTACTAGTGGGGGACCTATCGTCTTACATCCACGTTATCCAGAGGCATAGTGGTGAGCTGCCTTTCTGAGTCGTTCTGCAGCTACCAGTGTTTCTTCTTATATTTACATTCAGTCTATTTTATTTCAGACAGTATTTTGAGTTTTGTATAATCTAATAGATGCTCATACACTTGTGACACCAGGTCTTGGCACACACATTGGTTGAATTAAGAGTTGCTTATTTTTCTTGGTTATTTTAAATTTATAAATTGGTTTGCCTAGCTGTAGTGTTGGGCGCCATCACGATCTATAGGTGAAATTGGGTCTTGACAGGCTTATTCTCAAAAATACTCATGATAACCGGGATAACACAAGGTCGTAATGTGCTGGCTAATAAAGCTCATGTCAACACCTTGATTATTATGTGTAAGCAGTGATATTTTATTTCCCTAAAGCGGTCATAGTTCAAGTCTGAGACCACTACTGACTCTGGAGTAAAGGTTATTGTTTTATTAAGTGGAGGTTCAATGAAGAGCACACCTTCATTATGCATACTAGTCTCCCTTCAAGTTATAACTCTCTTATTTTAATATTAAAATGAGTGGGAGAATGTTGGTATTTTGTGCATTTTAGTATTAAAACTATAATATTAAAATGCATTATTTCTTGTAATATAGTGGTTATAAATTGGCAAGAAGTGGTCATTACTTTGGTGTAACTCATGAAACTACTAATGCCATGATCTACCACTAATTACCTACTAAATATTAAAATTTTTAACCACCAACCATGTTCTATAATTTTATTATCCCACTACCTAATTATTTATTTCATGAAAGAGATTCTACACTTATAAATAGTGGCGTTTCTTACTTGTGTTTGGTATGAAAAAAATATGGCAGTATGTATGAAAAAAGTAAACTCGGCGTAGTGAAAAAGAGAGTTAAGAAAAGGAGAAAATCTAAGAGCTTGTCTGGCCAAGCTTCTCGGAGACAAAAAAGTACTTTTTGAAAAATTTAAGGTGTTTGGCCAAAATAAAAAAGTACTTTTGGCCAACAACAGAAGTAGTTTTTCTGCTTTTGGGAAGAAGTAAAAAATTAATTTATTCAAGACAAAACTATCCTCACCATAAATATATATTTTTCAAATTATCCTTTACATTTTCTTTTCTTATATATATATATATATATATATATATATACACGTGTATAACTTTTCTACCATCAGATGCATGAATCATGTAAACTTTTCAAATTCGTTTTTCGTCTTTTTATTTATTTTTGCTTCTTTCGCTTGGATAGTTCTTTTTTTTTTCCTTCTAATTTCTACCATTATTTTAAAAATTAAAGATATCAAATACATGAATCATCTTGTAACTTTTCAAATTCTTTTTTGACTTTTCTTGTTTTTGATGTTTTCTTTGACTAATCTTATTTTTTTTATTTTTCTAAATTAATAGATCTCCTAGAATTCTCCCCGTCTTTGATGTACAATTGAAAGAATATTTGGAGTCTGGAAAAATAGGTTTTCTATTTTGCCTCAATGCCATCTTTCAAGTTTGACACTCAGATTCATCTTGTTACAACTACCATGGCTATACACGATTTCATCCGACGACCTTCTTCTACTGATAAGGAATTCAACTATTATATTAATGAAGACATTACTGCAGAGATTGAGGAAGGAGATGGGCCTTTTGGTATTCCTTTAGAAATGCAAGACAAGTCTTCTACTATTATGGAGGTGTTGCGTGATAGAATTAGAGATGAAATTGTTGAGAAATATTATCATATGTGAGTGACTTTGCTTATTATTTCATGGTTGATTATCAATATATAATAATTTATGGAATAAACTTTAAGTCACACTGAATGACGTATTTTGATTATTCGAATCATCGTGTAAATAACAAGTAATTATACTAGATAATATTATTATTTTGGTATAACTATATATGTTAAAATGATTTAAATATTTAGTATGTATGTTTACTTTATGTTTATATTTTAATTAAATAAAATAAAATAATAATAACAGTCTCTTATAATAAATATTTAAATTTATTTATTTTTAAAATAATTATAAAACCTTGGTACTATTCTTTTTGGTAATTTGACACTCAAAAGTATTTTTTTATAAAGATTGGTCAAATACAATTTGTTTATCAAATATTGCAAAAAGTACTTAAATGAATTGTCCAAACACAAATTATTATTTTTTTCAAAATACTTTTGAAAAAAGTACTTTTTTGAAAAAAGTACTTTTCAAAATAAGCACTTTTTGGCAGCTTGGCCAAACGGGCTCTAAGTCTCCAACTTATTCTGTATAAAAGAGAATATTATTTCTGTTGGGGGAAGATGTTCATTTTGGTGGAGCTTTGGACTCAACAACTTGTCCAAAGTTTATTCGGAGTCATATGACGTTGTCGGACTGTTGTATCCTGGGGGACAAGTCAAGAGTATTACTGCTGAACCGATGAAGTGCTACCGCAGTGGGCTTGAATCTCCTTAAAGAGAGCGAGATATCTGCGTATATCTGTGCCTACAACCTGAAGAATATTTATTTATTTTCTTTATCTTATTTTTTAACTGTAATTTTTATTTTCACCAACAATTGGTAATCTCATAAACATGATAATTCATTTGTTATTACAGATTAAAATATACCAATAGTATTAAAAATATTTTAGATTATCAATATAAATAACTTACACCTATATTATAGGTTAACTCTCAGTTTGTGAGTACATGGATTATTAATAATAGTGATAATGGTACTAATCAATTAACAGTATAATACTATATTACGACCTAACAAGTCCTTAATAATGTGTCCCATAGTGGCGGATGCACAGACAGCACAGTAATATGTATACTTAATGTCTTTTTTAAACCATACACTAACAAAACAAAAAAGGAGTGATTACAATGGTACTTCACACTTGAGAAAACACCTGCACACAATTAGAGAGCTGCCTTTCCAGTTTCTTGGCAACTTATTATTTGTATGTGTGTCACTCTCTTCAATCAAATGGAGCAGCTTCCAGCTCACCCGATGACAAATGAAAAGCTTAATTTACTACAAGTTGGAAGGGGGTGGGTGAAGATGGTGACAGATGTTAGTTCGCTCGTAATAGAACGACTGGACTTGAAGCTCTAATATGTACAACGAAAACAATTTGATATTGCCTGTCATAAAAAGACCAACTTTTACTCTAAAAACAATCTTATAACACGATAATTGAGAAACAAAAACAAGCTTATGAAAAGAAAAAGATTGGTTTGTAACTTTGTATTCCTCTCAAGGGTGATTTAGTTGACTCATCAATGTAACATTAGTGGAGATTCTGAGAATAATCGCACACTTAAAGAAGAGTTCAATTGGGAATTTGGGGTCTTAGTTCCGGGGAAGCATATTCCCAATTGATACTATCGTTTCTCGACTTTCAACTGTTATGTGGAGTTTGCCTCTCATAAAGTCATACGAAGAAAATAGAAACTTGTGAGTAGAATTTTTCAAAACGTTAAGATTAAGATGTCATGGACTGTGATTAGTTGGCTGGTCTCAAAGTTTTGCAGGGGATACGTCAATTTTTTTTTTGGCGGAGCTACCTAACTTCCGACTAGGCATGGATTAGTATTTCCCCATTATTACTACTTTAATTAAAGAGAGAAGTGATTGCTGACCAACAAGTTAATACAACTTTATTCCTTTATGACTTATTTTAAACATACTTTAAATTGAGTCCATGGAAAACCAGAAAAGAGGGGTTAAGTGTGTTAATACACCTTTAGTCCTTTATGCCTCACTTAAAAACATACTTTAAATTGAGTCCATGGAAAATCAGAAACGAGAGAGAGTCTACGTTGAACGCACTAACGGAATAATATATATCGATAGTTAAGTATAATTTATTTACTGCAACAACTCAGTTATCATATTATTTTATGTTATTTTGGTATCCGGGCGAACTTGCACAGACCTCGACTATTTCAACAAATATCCGCTATCTCCCACTAGCTCAAGTACCATATTTACCATGTTTTGCAGGTTATCAATCCACACTTGCTATAAAAGTTGCCTGCAATTGGTTTTTAACTTATCTTTATAGTGTAAATTTTTTTTTGTTTATTAGTTATGATCAAAATATTTACACAATAAAATCATTTATAAGCTTATCAATCGTACTTGTGGTGTGCTGATAAAGCATTTAGTTTGTAGTGAACCAACAACATTGATCTAATTTATACTGTACCAATTCAACCAGGAGCTGAAATGGCTATTGTTTCAAAATGAAGAGTCGAAATTGGCCTAGAAATCCTTTCTCTTTCATGTTGACATCAATGCAAATCCTTTTCATCATCATGTACTTCAAATTCAGATTACAACAAGAAATACAGATGAGGTAAACTGACAAAAAAAAACCAGGAGACTAGAAAGGCGTAGAAATCCCATGCTCTCCATAATGAGGAGAAAAGCTACAATGATACAGTTCTCTAACCTGGGAAAATCAAGTACTACTATGTAATGGACAAAATCAAAAGCAGATCATTAAATCCTAAAAGCTTGAGCATATGCCAGAGTACAGATTCAGAGGTCTAACCAATTGCATTGGCTTCAGAATGCTTTTTCCTTTTACTTCAGAATGAATATAAGCATCAATCGAAAAGCCAGTGCTTCTTGTACAATTGTAACAGATAATTCCTAATTATTGGCAGGTGTACCTGTGGAAGCTGATCAGATTGAAATTAAACAGCCTTGACAGCACATCCAAGCAACTACAATACCCAGTAAAGCCCCAGCGAAAACCTGGGATGGGGTGTGGCCGAGAAGTTCTTTTAGCTTTCTTTGACTGATGGGATGCCCTTGGAATAAGTCCTCAACGATCAGATTGAGAACCTGAGATGACAGAATAAGATTTGATTAATCACAAAGCTAAGCATGCCCCATCAGACATAAATGCAAGTTTCCACACCAATGGTCCAGTGGTCATGCAAAGGAGTTACCAATTACCTAAAAGAGATTCCTTTACAGTTATTTGAAAGGGGTGTGAGTACTTTTTTTGTGATAGTTAGAACAAGAGATAAGGAAATCTACAGAGCATCTACAACAAAAAGATAACTTATCCACATGACTTTAGCACTGGGGATGTACTTTCTTCATTTTCAAAGAAGAACAGGTTCTCCAGCAGAAAGAGCATGGAGTGAAAAAACGAGGATTATGGGAAGAAGGAATCTGATGCTAAGAGAAAGTCACATTCACCTAAAACTAGGATAAACCTGCAGCAGTTGAATGTCACCAAGGATGAGACTCCTCGGAGTTTCACTTGGTATTATTCTCTTCTAAAGGGTTCTTTACTCTGGTCATAAAAAGGTCCGTTGACCAATTGCTCAGTTGAAGTGCCAAATCTTAAAATATTTAGCATTCTAGTGAAGCAAACCTTTCTACAGCTAGCCTTACACGACGCATATTTTCCTGATTCCCATTGTAATAACATTATGGAGGAACCTCATGGGACATGCGAGTAATTTATAAGTAGAATCAACTTTATATCTACTCCTGAGACAAATAAAAGCCCGGTGCACTAAGCTCTCGTTATGCGCGGAGTTCGGGGAAGGGCCGGACCACAAGGGTCTATTGTACGCAGCCTTACCCTGCATTTCTGCAAGAAGCTGTTTCCACGGCTCGAACACGTGACCTCCTGGTCACATGGCAACAATTTTACCAGTTACGCCAAGGCTCCCATTCTGAGACAAACAAAAGCAATGAAAGATTTTTCATAGACTTGTGGTTCAACTTGGGTGTTTTTGTACAGTTGACAGGGTCAACCCAAGACATCAACTGTATAAGCTTGAGACCAGATAGAGAACGGATTACTTCACAGCCAGATAGCATAAATGATGATGATCCTAACATCAGAGTTAGATGTTCAGTACGCTATCGCTAATTTCTAATAAATCAAAGCAGATTGAGCAAAAGTGGGCCATTATGGAAGTCCAACAGCTTGAATTTATTTAGAATAGCTACTGATATCAAGTCATGTGGTCAGGGGATTCCCAGCTAAGAGTACAGGATCAGAATCAGCAGCTTCTGACATATGGAAGGTATTAATAAGCCATTTTGGGATTCAAGAGAATAAACATGTGTTGGTTTCCAATTCGCCAACCTTTTCTGCTCTATGTTTTTTAATTCATGCCTAGGCAATAAATGACCGAAGGGCCACATATGATATTTTCTATATATATTCTTAACTATAAGCAAACACTGACTCCTAGCATGGTCATCCAGTAGAGTTATTATCACGACCTAGTCACTTTACAACCTAAATGATTCAGGAACCAGAAACCTCTTTCATGTTTTTCATTCTACTAGCCTAAAATAAAGAAACCCTGCATCAATTCACTACTACAATTAAAATGATTGTAGGGCTTGTAAGTCGAACCACATTATCTCCATTGTTTTCCAAATCTTTCTTGATAAGGATTACACCTTTACATTCTTGCTATCCTGTACCAGCCAACCATATCACGCAATTAAAATACTCACAAGACCTTAAAATACCAAAAGGAAACCACTTTGAAGGTGTGCAGAGTATATGAATAAATCAATGAATTAAGAATTAACTAGGTTCAATATCAAATCAGTTGGAAGGCACATAGAGCATATTCCCACAAATTACAAACAGAAGAATGAGCCAATTGCCTAGTATGAACAAACATAAAGATTAACCACAGCTTGCAAAAAGAATACAGAAAACAATATGAGAAGTAGTTAATTACCTCTGCTTGCATCCCAGCATGCCGTCTCACACCAATAGCATCATACATCACAATTAAACTAAACCCCAAACAAACGGGAAATAATGAGTCAGCAACACCATGACAAATAGCAACTGAGGTTGTCAATGCCGTACACAAAGCTGTATGGGAAGAAGGCATTCCTCCAGATGCAAACATAATCCTAAAGTCCCATTTTCTCTCCACATAGAAATTCAAAAAGACTTTCATCGACTGTGCCACCAACCAAGCTATAAACCCCGAAACAAACGTTGGGTTAGCAGCTAATGTAGCTACAAATGGACTTATTTTCACCTTTGCTGTTGAAGTTATACTCAAAAGAGCCATTCCAAAGCTTCCATTTTGCAACAGATTTCCGCTAAGCTTCTCTGGAACATTCTCAGGGCCACTACCGCCTTTAAAAAAAGATTTGTTCTTTGAGGCCTTTGCTGCAAAGTCTTTGACTTTCTTGAAAATCGGGAGAAGAAGTGAAAAGGGTTTTAAGTATGAGCTCTGATTTTGCCATTGTGAATTGGGGTTTGGGGGGTTTAAGGATGAAACAGTAACTGGAGATGCTTTCAATTTCTTGGGTTTTTTGAATCTGAAAAAACAGAAAGAGGAAAGATTGAAAGAAGTGATGTTAGAGTTAGGAAGGTTAAGAGGGAGGGCTCTGTACGCGGAGTTTATTACGAGAGAATCCATGAAAAAGTGCCGAATAATCGGAGTTCAGGCAGCATCGAAACAGAGGATGAGAGGAGAAAAGGGTGGTGACAGTTTCGAAAGGCTTTGTAAAGTGCTTTTTGTGGAGAATTGAGAAACATAGATTGGTCGAATTTAGAGCCTTCACTGCCTCTTCAGTCGAGTGATGGCACGTGAGGTGGTGAATGCACTACTTGCTTACTGCCAAATTTCGCGATTTTGGAGATTATCCATTTCTCAAGAATATGCTTATGCCTCCTTGGGACATTGGTGGTATCTTTATTTTCTCAAATATGATTTTCTTTCCTATATATGCTTTATTTCTGCTATACTCTTTCCGTATATAGTCATGCAATACCTTTAAAACAATACATATACATACTAAAGCCTCACATTGTTTGAAAATAATATATCAATTTAGGACATTGCTCGTATAAAATCCTACAATGTTCGAAATCGAGTAATAATGGGTCTACTACTCTACCGTTCTCCATTTAAATATCAGGCTTAGTTTACATGGCTAAGAGGGCATGAACCTGTTACTTAAGTCACAAGTCCCTTAACATTTATCACTTGAACTAAGACGTAGTTATACATTAAAAGAATTCACTTTACTATGATTAATTAATATATATTCTCACTATCATTAAATCACATTACAACTAAAAATTGATATAATTTTACTTAAATATATGATGCTGATAGTGATAGGTATTTACGGTTATAGTAGCACAGATACTTTTGTATATGGCAACCAATTGCATCATTGTTAGTGGACAACTCTTTGCAAACAAAAAACGGGTACCTGGCTGCTTATTCTTTCCTGTTTTGCGACAAATGTCATTTAAGTTGCATCGCATCAAAGATTTTCGTTTGATTAAGTATTTTTTTTTTTATCTATGCTCATTCTAATAAATCGAGCCACACTTGAAGTGAATTTCTTCTATAGTGGTCTGAATCCATCCTAGTTGTCAAAATTGACATTTTTGATTTGCTAAACTTGATCGACGCATCATTTGTGTTTATGCAAGACTATGTTATTGCAAAAAAAATAATACCATATATGAATCCATTAACGTGTTGATTGGAATGGTAAACTGTAATGTCATGGATTAAATTTTTGAACTAGTAAAAATCATTTGTCAAAAAATAAAAGTTGACTTACTATATGTGATTTAATAAGTTGTTTTTCTCTAATAAATCTTGTGCGAAATATGCTACTTTTTGCAGCCTATAAAACATGTGCTTCTTAACTCGAACAAATTTCTCTCTCGAGACTACAACATTAGAATCTATTTCTTGGCTAGTAAGCAAATTAATAATACTATTTTGAGTTATAATATCAAGAGATTTTTACATATTTTTATACTTATAAAGTAGAGGGACCGAGAGAGAGCCTAAACGTAGCTCAAGTGTTATTTTTATCCAAAATGCTCCCTAATAGAATAGCATTACATACCAAGTTACTAGTACTATATATTACACGCCAAAGTATGTTTTAAATATAGTTCTTTGGATGTCTGCCCGAATTGCTTTAACGGCAAGCATAGGAGGAACTACCAAAAAGTGTGTCATGTCAAACAATTTTCTTTTTGCACCTTCATTTGCAAGGAGATTCGCTACTTAGTTCTGCTTTCGGTAACTATGCTTAATAACTAGGTTCCCGGCTGCTCAAGCAGCACCCTACATTCAGAAATAATGATTGGTTCATAAGGAAGGTTCTCATTTTTAACCATTTGTATTACCTCTATTTAGTCAACGGTGACTTCCAATACTAGTTTTAGTTCCTGCATGAGAGTTAGAATATCCGACCTTTAATGTGATAAGTGATCAAACATACTTCACATCCAGAATGATTTATCTTTTTCCTTTAAAAACTAAAAGTTTTCTTAGTGATTTGCATTTATTACGCAAGAAAGATCTTCTAATTAAATTATACTATACTTTAAGTTAAGTGCATCCAGCATGCACCAACAGTTTTTGCTTTCAAAAGTAAGTATTCTTCCTTCTTCCGGGATGCACCAGCACTTTGTGCTTTCAAAAGTAAGTTTATATTGTTCATTATTTGCATACTTTTATGTATAAGCAACCAACTTTAATGTTCTGTGTTGAGGCGGATCTAGGATTTCAACAAGATGGGTGCATGTCACGACCCAGCCTAGGGCCGCGACGGATAACCGACAATAAATGTCGATCATCACTAAATTTGCTGATAATCTACTAATCATGAATATAAACGGATAAACGGAACAAGCATAAGAATATCTGATAAGAACTGTACAATCTGGAAAGCTGGCAAGGCTAACACAAGCTGACATATAAAAATATACTAAATGCAAATGTGCATATCTACAGGCCTCTAGGAGTACTGAACTGAAAAAGTATTGGACGGAACAGGGCCCTATCATATCCAAACTAGTTGATTGTACACATACCAAAAGATAAGTAACTGCGGGAGTAAGCTAAGTAACTCCAATAACTGGTGGATGGCCTACTGATGTGGCTCAAACGCTGATCTATCTGTACCTGCGCAGCATGAAATGCGGTGCCCCAGAAGGGACATGAGTACGATATGTATAAAGTATGTAGGGTGGAAAGCATATTTAAAGCATACTAAAGTATGACTGTAAAATAAAAATCTGAATATAAGTTGAAAGCTAAACAAGAGTCTGAACTAGCAACTGATCTGGAACTGAATCGAAGTTTAAGCTGAAACTGTGCTGAAACTGAACAACTATCTAAACTAGTATATGTCTGGTGTTATAGGCTATATCCCCCCAATCATGTAACTGTAAAACTGAACAAGCCTTATGTATAGTCATGCAATGCAAATTGTAGCTATATACGCGTATATAACATGACTGACTGGTGTTATGGTTTATATACCCCCAACATGTAAATATATAATCAACATGACCGGCTGCTATTATGGGCTATCTCCCCTAGCATATAATCAATAGGCCTCACTGGCGTTATGGGCTATCTCCCCCCCAACATATATTCAATAGGCCTCGTTGGTGTTATGGGCTACATCCCCCAGCATAATCAATGTAAGCATGTATGAGGCATAACATATGTGGAAACATCATATATGGACTCAAGAGATCATGAATGATACAATAAACGGAATCACAAACGTAATTTGACGCTGCTCGTCCATAAGTTGGACGGAAGAGTCTATCCCCATTTTAGGTAGAAACTAAGTACGTACATGAGATACTAAGGTTAATTAACTCATTAGGATCCCTCTATAATCAATTTAGAACCAAGAAACTCAAGATTTTTTCAACTCTTCGAATTTCCAAAAATTTCGGTAGAGTTTCCCACTAAAACTAGATGACTCCCAAAATTAACAGCAATCACCATAATATACACGGTAATGGATACCCGACCAAGATGATAACATCAAACTAAAGAAGATCAAGTTATCAACAATAGTGCCAAATGATCGACAAAACAGAATTGTGAATGTAATGTTGACTCATGGTGGCTAACTTGTGACATGAAAGTCTAAATATAATTTAGGAATAATCTAAGTATCAACACATGATAATTAAGCTTATATAATCTTAAATGAAGCTATCAGGATCATATGGGGGTTAGGTATACATAAAAACATCAAAGGAACGGAACAAATGGAAGTCCGTATGACATAGGCCAAATTGTCGATTTTTCCTTTTGTTTTTATTATGTTTTGAAGTTTCAACCTAAACTATTTTCTTCCATAATTCACATACGGAATTGAATAATATACAAGAATACAATACATTCTGATATTTCTATTGAACAACCCTTAAAAGATCAAGAAGAAAGGCTAGAACATAGCTAAACCGTGTCATGCCGAAAACAAAACGAAACCCCTGCATACTTCTTGTATTCTTGCTTCCAAACCTTGTTCCCTTTGATCCACACCCTTACTTATGCTTGTATAGCTAAAATACATATGTGACAATATTCCTTAGCCACAAATATCTTTCCAAAACTCGAGTTATAAGGAGAAAGGAGGACGACAAAGTCTTACCTATGTTGTAAGAATCACGTTGATGTGTTCGCCTCTTGACTTTGAGTTGCTGATGATGGAATTGCTTTAAAACCCTAAGAATGTATTTAGGATGTCTAGAGAGACTTTTTAGGTGTTATTTGGGTCAAAATTATCCTTAGAGATGAAGGCTACAACTCTATATATCAAGATAATCCTCAACCGACCTTGTGGGTCCCAAAGAGAGCTCCTTGTACAGTCTCGCGAAAATACGAATATCTCTCCACTCTGATGTCGTATCGATGAACTGTTTAATGCATTAGAAATTAGAATCATATATATTTAATTTGGAGGTAGATAACTCCGTAATTCCAAGTACATTGAGAGAAAATCTTAGTAACATTAGACCTAAATTTTAAGTAAAATTATGAACGTAACTTGTGACAACTATTGTCGACTTTTGTTTCCTAACTCGTCTGACTTCAAAATATAAAACACGACTATAATACGACTAAAATACCTCATTATATCACCTATTTATCATGTTAATCACCCTAGTATCACCCTAAAAGTACGGGTTATAACATTCCTAACTTGCCGACTTTCGACGAAATTTATTTTCTTCGATTCGTTTAGCTTCTAAACCTTCCAATCCTCTTGGTGCTTGTAGTTCATGATCTTAAATATTTGTAACCTCCAAGGTAATATGATTAACTTAGTTTATGTACTTTCAAAGATGATCTAATTTTCGGGCATACATCAACTGACTTACGATGTGCTTTTACGTACAAAAATATGGGGTGTAACATCATTCCCCCCCCTTTGGAACATTCGTCCTTGAATGTTGACTGATGTGCTTATCAGTCTCATAACCTACAACTCTTACGAATACTTTTATACTATCTATTCCATCTAGGCAACTGTTCTGCGAATAAATCCAAAGGCCAGGGCATTCCCTTCTTTAGGCCACTTTCTCATACCACGGCCTGTGGTCAGAATTCTTCCAATCTCGTAACTGTTGCTACCTTCTGTCATGCAGCCTGTACGACTTTGTCCTTGTATGAATGCCTATGCGACTCTTCTCTGCCTTTTCCTCCAACTTTTATCCAATCTCTAGGCCTCACTTTGTGATCATATACAGAACCTATAACAAGATGTCCCTCTGGGAATCTATAGGTGTAGTGAAGTTCTTTGCTTGGTACTTTAT